AAGATTGAAATTTTAAAATTAAGATCACTAGTAAATGTTCAAATAAGTAAAATATTTATTTGGGAAACGTATACCTTTTATTTAATATAATTATTGCCTTTTTTTTATTAATCAACTTTTCTACAAATTTATTTTAACCTAAGTTAAAAACTATTTTCATAATAGTTTTCCCTGACATACATACAGATATATTTGTTTAATATAAATACATGCATATGTATATAAATTAAAATTATATTCAAAATTGTACGAAATAAAAAACCGCGTTTTCGAATAAAATAGTTTCCTAAAATATTTCACGGAAAATTTGGTAAAATTTTTCACTTTATTTATTTGTGGTCTTCTTATTTTACAAAAAATTTACTCTGTTTTTAAACATAATGAAATCAATTGGAAAATTTTGTGGAAAATTTATAGTTGACTAAATTTTATTCTATGAAAATGATTTGTTATGATTCTCGGTTATAAACCATATTTCAAATAAAAAGAATTATAAATATTTTCAGAAATTTTTTTAATAATTATTATACTTTTTAGAAAAAAATTATTGCTATATCTTATGACGAGGTGAAATGAGCGAATAATACCATACCATAAAATGAGCGAGGCATGCCGTTGAGAGTTGCACATATGCTGTAAAAGTTTTTACAATTCGGTGTGATCTCAAACTCAGCAATAAATGAGAAGTTTTTAAATGAAGTTTAATTTGACAGTTTTGTAAGTAATTTGGCAGATAATTCTTTCTTTGAATTAATTTTGTTTCTTTTGTTTTAATTTTAGTTTAATGATGTTAGCAGTACTTTGGCTGTTTTATATTTTTTAGTGCAATTTTTGACTTATAGTCAATTTATTTAAATTGTAATAATCGAAAATAATTTTTATTAACAACTAACATTTTTGCCAAACTCATGCTACTTAAAATATCGCTTCCATTGCAAAGAAAATAATTTCACAGTTTCAACCATACAATAGTACAAGAATAACATTCTTTCATATGTAAACTTCCAAAATCTTTGACCATGAATTTTCTTGAAAAAAAAAGAAAAAATTACGTATTATTTAGCTTTTAAAATCAATTACATTGTACTTTTTAAATTTTTGATTGATTGATTGACTTTCCGATTTATTGCATACATGTTGAAATAGAAAAATTCTAATTTTGATAATTTTAGATTTATTAAATTTTGATTTTTTTGCAAAATTTTTAATGTTATAGCCGTAAACTTTTAATGATTTTTTTGTTCGTACATATGTACATGCATATACTTATAAAAAAATTTAATAATTATTATTGTTAGTTGTATTTTGTACAATTGATTAAGAGGAGCAGATGTAAGTCAATTAATCTCTCCAATTCGGGATAATACTAAAGAAAGTCAGATAAAAATTATATTCATGATATTGTTTTCGACACATCATAGAAATATGCAAAGCATAGTAAATTGTAGTTTTTCTGTACTCCTGATTGTGGTCGGCTTAACCTGCACTGAAATTTGGAATCACCATAACACTTTTTGAAGTAGCTTCTTGAGGCTCTCAATGAGTCCGCAATAATTAAACAAAATATCCATGTCGGTTATCATCTGATCTTTATGGTTAATTTTCTTGAAGAAATTTTGGTCATAATTATTTAAAAATTATTAGACTTCGGTTCCATTCTTTTATTGCTATGTCATAACAAAAGAAAGTTATTGATATTTTGTCTACCACATCGTTTCTTTTTCGTTTGGAATTCTGAAACTTATTTGATTTTATTAGCATACACTAGTCTCGCTGAATGAACCGGTATTGTAAAAAACATGTAAAACGTAACATAAACATTATGTAAACTTTAAAGGCATCTAGCACCACAAATTAAATAATTTAAATTTATCATTTTACGACTGATATTTATTTAGAAAAAAATTCAACATCAACGGATTTTTCGTTATCCTTAAAAATGTAAATTTAATACAAAAAATTTACATATTTTTTATCTATTTAATTAATAAGTTCAACCATAATTATTTTGTTTTGCAAATTTAACTAATAAAGTTATTAATTTCAATTTTAGGTAACTTCAAGATTTTATCAATTTAGTTGAATTAAAACTTACTACATTTTTGTAGTTGAAAATAATGGAATGACCAGAAAAAGGCTCTTGAAGTATGAGTCATTATCCGCTATAAATATTTAACCGTTCGCCGAATACTTTATAGTTACACATGTGACTTGAGTATCATAAAATAAAAGTTTATTGTTGAAGTTTTTAAGAAATTGCATAAAATATAGTACTAGTCTGATAAAATTTTATCCAGAATAATGCTGAAACAAAAATAGTTATAACTTATCAAGAAGGAAATTTCAGGCTTTTGTGTTTTTTAAATAGTTCTAAATAGTTTTCTGTTTGCCTAAAACTACAGTTGTTGAAGCCAGGTTCGATTAAGATGGAATATATTATGGAAGCAAAATATTTCCCATACCTTTAAAACACAAAAGAGATCATCAAAAGAAAATTTTCTTTCGACACTTTAATTTCGGAGTGTCTATAGTTGTTAAAATAGTGTTAATAACTAACGGATCAAGTCTAGGAGAAATCTGGTTAAAAAAAATCTTTAATACTTTCAATCATAAAAAACCGCAACATTAAAGAAGTTGAATTTTATGTTCGTTTTAATCAGTTGTAATAAGAAAACGAGAAAAAAAACATAATTAAAATAAAATTCTATTGTTCTTTTTCTCTACACTTTAAGTGTTCTAATCAGAAATAAAAACAGCAAAGAAAAACTTCATTAAAACATTATCCTTTTTGCTACTACAATTCTAAATTGTAGGATAAAGAAAAAAAAAAGAAAATTCGAATTGAACAAAAGGAAATGTGAAAATTATTCTATTTTTCTAACATTACAAAATTTACAACTGCAAAAGAATGAAAGGATAAAATGAAAAAAAGAAAAAGAGAGGAGTATTTAAAAACGAAAACATTAAATATGCGGCTGGCAATGAAAATTAATTCCCTATCTTAGCCTACAGGTATGAATAAATCTTTTCGTTGTGTATAAGTGCTTTATTTACACAAACGTTAAAGGTTATCTAACACCTGTCAACTATATGTATCGCGATAATGTTCTGCAGGCGATATAAATGCCTAGAAGTACACACATATTTAACAGTGTCATTTCTTTTCTCTTTTATTAAGCAAGAAACCCTTAATTTGCTCATAAACAATGATAAAATTACTATGGTGTTGATTATTAAATAGCATGTTTTTAACAACTATTTAGAAATGCTATGCAGTAAATAGTAATAATGAAAATTTTATTACTGTTGATTATTTAATAGCATGTTTTGAACAATTATTTAGAAATTCTATGCAATAAATAGTAATGATGAAAATTTCATTAGTTTTTGTAAGTTTGAATTCAATTTAAAATTTGGCAATTAAATGATAACATTTCTGAAATGAGAAATAACACTTAAGAAAATAATCATAAATAAATTACTTAGTTATACCTCAATTGAAGTATAAGTGAATCTTAAGTGTTGTAATGAAAATTTCTCTAAAATTTATTCCCGAGTCCCAACTACTTTTAATCAATTTATCTGTGCGTTATATATGATCGAGGACAACTTTGGCTCGGTGGAGTTTTCAGTAAATTTTCTACAGAAGTATGGTAAATTAAAAACGTACAGGAAAATTATAAAAATTTTCATAGTAAAAGTGAAAAACAATCAAAAATGCATAAGCAACAGTGACTGTAATAGAAGCATTTTAGCGTAAAGGGAAACGAAAATCCTACAGCTAGAAGTAGTGGGTACTAGAAGTGGTATATTTGCACAAATAATGTTATACGCACACGGTATAATATATTGTATTTAGTAAAGTTTTTTCAGCTTGAAAATGTTTTCCCATGCTTAAAATTATCATATTTTAATATCTGAAAAATATTCTCCAATATCACTACTCTATACAATTAAACGAATAGTACAAATACAAATTTTTTTTTTCATAATTATTCTGTTTTCTAATTTATTATTTGAGAATTAAATTATTATCTTTTTTGAGTATTTAAGTAAAGTTTTTACAAAAAAAAAAACTTAAGCTATAGTAATATTTTCTCTTTTACAAAGTTGCTGTGTAGCGAGAGAATTTTTGTTCTATAAATCAAAAGTTTAAAATAAATATGTACGACTTGAAGCTATAAATTTACTCTTTTTAAGTGAAGCTTATAAGAATTTTTTTGCCAACAGAAAAATCTTTGTCTTATTTTGATTATTGTTGTTTTGGTGATCGGACAATTCCGATTTTGTGCTGCTTCTGATCAGAAGAGATAAGCTTTACGGAATTTATTAGTAACAAAACTAGTGGAAGCTATAAATTCATTTTGAATTTAAATCTTATCTTAAATAAAATCAATAGCATACCTGAAATATTATATAGTATACCTGTATGAAAAATAATAATTTTAGAAGAATTGTATAACGAGATTATTTCAGCATGCTAAATTATATTATTAAAATATGTATGCTGTGGTTATCAATATGTGGTAAGCTTATATATTTAAAATATTTTATTTATTCATATATTCTACTACATAATTAGTAGTTGCTAATAATATTTGTTTAAATACAATAAATAGATTCCATTTTAACAACTTCAATCAAAGACAATTTATCAGGATGTATGGTTCCAAAAGGTTTATTAAAATTAACTAATGCGAAAACTAAAATGCAATTAAATTCGGAAAGTGTCGTTCCAATAGACACACGTATTATATATTCATGCCCAACATCATATATTTGGGAAGGACGAGCTACATTAAATTATTGTGCAAATACGGCTCCAGTGAATTGGACATATGAACATCCCAAATGTATAAGTAATTGTATGATTTAAATCTTTTATAATAATATACAAATGAAAGTCAGCAGAATTATTTTAGATATTTTTTTTTTTTTAGTTGTGCCCACCAATTCGGGACCATACGATCGAAGCTAATTGTGAGTATAAAGGGGAATCAGTTAATTGCAAATCAAATGTTAAATCAGGTACCATTGCCCAAATAAATTGCGCACTGCAGTACGTGAAACCTAAAAGTCAGCAAATATATAAAACTTTAAATTGTCAAGAAGATGGTACATGGGATTACCTTCCCTTTAAATGTGAGCAAATTTGTGGTGGGTTTGACAAAACCCCTGACAATTTAATTAATATTAACAGTCGTTTAAGAAAACCCAGTGACGTACCATATCACGTTAACATATATAAAATAGAGAATAGTGAATATATGCATACATGCGGTGGAACAATTGTTCAATCGAAAATTGTGTTAAGTGCTGCTCATTGTTTTTGGAATGATGAAAAATCACTCTTTTATGATAAATCAAAATATATTGTTACAGCTGGAAAATTCCATCTTGACTATAATTCCGATAAAGAAACATTTGAAGTGCAGAGGGTGCTTATATCTAAAATTGATGTACCAAAAACGTAAGTATTTTAAAATGAAAAGTTTTTATTTAGATAACATATGTATATCTCTTTATATCTTAAACAGATTCCGCGGGTCTGAAAATAATTTTGAAGGTGATATTGCAGTTTTGACTCTTGATAATCATATTAAATTTAGTGATCATGTTATCCCAATATGTGTTTTATGGTCAACTGGATTTGGACAATTTAATCCAAATGGTCTAAGCGGTTACGTCGTTGGTTTTAATAGTAACGATTCTTCAACCAATGGCCATTTATTGCGAGAAGTTCCTCTTACTGGAATTGATACGCAAAAATGCCAAAAATATGAAAATGTAGCAAATTATAAAATTCCAGATGATAAATTTTGTGCATATTCTGAAAATAAAACGGAAAATATTTGTTCGAGAGATGGCGGTGGAGCATTTACAATATATGATCGAGGACAACTTTGGCTCGGTGGAATTTTCAGCAATATAATAACACCAAATACCTCTTACCATTCTGGCTGTGACGAAACTTTGATTAGAACGTTCACAAATATATATTCTCATGAATCTTTCATCAAAAACGTAATTAGCAATTTATCTCAAGCCGATTAGAAGCTAACTGATACTGCTACTACCACTATTTCTACTAAATCCGTTCACATGCATTATTAATTATATTTTTAGAACAATTCAGATTATTTTATTATTAAGCCGAAATAATATTTTATTAAGGTAAAATCTTAATATGTAGCTTGATTTTTCTGAGTCACACGAATTTTTTTAAATTTTTATGAAAAACCCAAAAGTTTTCTCATTTCAAAGCTTACATATCACGCTTTTAGTAAAAATAAGTTAGAATAAGACCTATAAGTTTTAAAAAATCACAATTTGTTTCCATAATCTTTAAAAAAAATTAATGAAATTGTTCTAAGAGAATGAATTTGATTATATAAAGTACCTCTTTCATGAATTTATGGGAAAAGAATATCGACCATAATTGGTTTCATTTCATCAAAACGTCGGGAAGTTAATCGCATATATATATATATATATATATATATATATATATTTATATATATATATATATATATATATATATATATATATATATATATATATATATATTATATATATATATATATAAATATATATATATATATATATATTTTTATATATATATTTATATATTAGGAAGTTAATCGGGAATATATATATATATATATATTTATATATATATATATATATATATATATATATATATATATATATATATATATATTATATATATATATATATAAATATATATATATATATATATATTTTTATATATATATTTATATATATATATATACATAAGCTTTTATTAATTTGCAAAAATGTTGAAATGTTTTGAAATGTTAGACATCAAACTAAAATAAGCTTATTCTTGAAACTAATTTTTACTTTACGTGCTTATATTTTAAATTTATAATAATATTTTGAATAGACTTTATATGCATAGGTATAACAAAAAATTTCCCGTCTTTTGTTTACAAATATTTATTAATATGTACCTATATAGCTATGTACATAAAAGTGTTGATATTAATTTTGATATTAACAATGTAAAAACAAAACAAACGCACGGGAAATTAGTATAAGTTTTGAAATCAAAAGAGAAACATGTTATCCGAATTGTGAATTAATCAATGCTCAGAGTGACTAATACAGAAAATAATATTAATTGCAAAAATTGTTATATAGCAAACCAACAATTAGTTTGTATAAAAGTAATTAACATCTAAAACAAAAAATGTTACATCGTATTATTGTGATAAGTCTATTTTCCATATTTATATTTGGTAAGATGAGATTACGTATACTTTTTCTAATAATAAGAAGCTGAAACTAATAATTAATTGAAATTATATAAGTATACATATGTAATTATTATAACTTTTAATTAATGCTTTTTATTTGTTTTATTTTTTTTTTTTTTGTTTAAAAACATTTTGAGAATTGTTAGGTTAATATGATTGAATTGTTTTATAAAATACTATGTAAATTCTTATTTCTTGAAGATTAATAAATATATTTTATAAATAGTCCAATTATTATTTTTTGGGCTACTAAATGAACTAATAATAACATAAGTTTTGAAAAAATTAAGGAATTAGTAATAATTTTTCATGTATTGCTATTTCATAAATTATTAGATTCGCGGATTTACATGTGCAAATATAAATTAAAATTCAATTTAGCAATTCTATATTTTAATTAATATCAGGTTCTGCAGTTCTACTATTTTATTTATTCCATAAATCAAACATAGATTCCAGTTTAACAGATTTGGGCAATGAAAATTCACATGGATGCTTAGTTCCTTCAGGAAACATAATATTAACGGAATTCAATACTAACAAACGTCTAATGCCGGGGACATTAGCTCCAATAAGAGCAAGTGTTATTTACGCATGCCAAAAATCTTATGTTTTAGAAGGAAAACTATTATTGAGTACTTTGAATTTCTGTGAAAAAGGAAATTGGACTTTTGAACATCCTGAATGCATAAGTAATTAATTCTTAAAATTTCGTATACGTAAAAATATAAAATAAATAATCTTTTTTATATTTCTACAGAATTGTGTCCATCGATTCGGGGTCATACAATTGAGGCTAATTGTGAGTATAATGGACAATCGGTTGATTGCAAAGGGAATGTTAAATATGGTACAACTGCTCGGATAAATTGTGCAATTTTGTACAAACGACCAAAGACAGAATAAATACATGAAACTTTACATTGTCAAAGGAATGGTACTTGGGACCATCTGCCATACAAATGTTTGCAAACTTGTGGAGCTGTTGAAAACGCTAATCAGTCTCATCTTAATTGGCTTTATACTTCACACAATGGCCTTAGAAAACCTTTCGAAGTACCATGGCATATTAACATATATTCAACAGTAAATAGTGAAAAATATCAACATATTTGTGGTGGAACACTAATTCAATCTAATATTGTTATAAGTGCCGCTCATTGCTTCTGGAATGATGAAAAATCACTTCTTTACGACAAATCAAAATTTATTATAACTGCTGGAAAAGTACATCGTGACTATTATTCCGATAAAGAAACATTTGATATTCAAAGGGCGTCTATTTTCAAAATTAATATACCACCTAAGTAAATATTTCAAAATAAAAATTGTATTTTATTTTTATACTTTTGATTCCAATAGCTTTCGTGGTTCACAAAATAATTTTGAAGGTGATATTGCAATTTTAACACTTAATAATCATTTAAAATTGAGATCACATATATTACCAATTTGTGTACCATGGACAACTCATAATGGTATATTCGATGGCGATAACCAAGGTTTAGTCGTTGGTTTAGGTGACATTGATTCAGATACAAATTTTCCACTACTCCGAACTGTTTCAATGCAACAACGTCAACTTGCAAGATGTAAGAAAGATAAACTTTTAGGAAACAATGTTATTCCAGATGATAAATTTTGTGTATATCCTGACTTCAGAAATGAAAATATTTGCAAAGGAGATGGTGGCGGAGGATTTGTAGTTTACGATCGAGGATATCCTTGGTTTATAGGAGTTTTCAGCAATATCATTTTGCCGAACACATCTTATAGTTCAGAATGTGACGACAAATTAATTCGCACATTTACGAGTATGTACCCATATGAACTCTTTATGGAAAATATTACTTTATCGGCAAATAACGACAATGAATCGTCAGAAATCGTCAATGATGAAGGTATTTGTATTTTGGCTGGCATTGTAACAATTAAAATTAAATTTTTATAAAAACTGTTATAGAAACAATAGATTCTGCATTATCTAATTTGTCTCCTGGATGCTTGGTTCCTACAAATAATTTAGTTCTGTTAGACATCGACACTAAAATTCATTTAGAGCCTGGAACAGTTATCTTGAACAAAGTATATGTTAACTACTCTTGTCCTGTAGAATATCTGTTAGAAGGCGAAATAAGTAACTCCTGCACTGGGATGAGATGGAAAAAATTGCATCCAAAATGCATAAGTAATTATTTAAATTTAAAAATTTTGTAATGAAATTTGATGAAATCAGCTTTTTTGTTTTTTATTCATTTATATTACTATTTCTATTAGGAACTTGTTCCCCAATAAAAGGCAATTCTATAAGAGTCGAGTACTATTACAAGGACAATAGAGTTGAAAATCAAACGATATTTAAACCTGGCACCATCGCAAGAATAAAATGTGCAACTATGTACAGGAAGCCAACCAAGTATCTTATTCATGAAGATGTACACTGTCAAACTAATGGAGAGTGGGACTATGAACCATTTCAATGCGAGCAAATTTGTGGTACTATTGATACGAATTTACCATTCAGTGTAAACAGTACTCTGACTTTGCCAAACAGAGTACCTTGGAATGTTGCCATTTATTCTAAAAATAAGCAACAAAAATATGAACAAAAATGTGGAGGAACGATAATTCAATCGAAAATTGTTATAACAGCAGCTCATTGCTTCTGGGATCCATCTGAAGCAATAATAGAAGATAAATCGAAGTTCATTATTACGACAGGGAAATTTTATCGTGATTTTTATGCAAATAATGAAATGCTTGAGGTTCAGAAAATAAACATCTCTAAAATTAATATTCCGATTACGTAAGTATAAGCCTTCTTTCTTATTCGATTTAATTTTATGAATAATTGTTAATCGTGTATAGATTTTATGGCGCGAACTATGACTGGGCAAATGATATAGCAGTTGTAACATTAAGCGATCACATTGAATATAAAAGTCATATAAGACCTGCATGTTTAACATGGAAAGAACAAAGTGAACAATATATTCAAAGTAATCTAGCAGGTGTTGTTGCTGGTTGGGGAATAACAGATAATGGAACATACAGTCCAGAATTACGTTCTGTTGAATTATTATCAATTGATAGTCACACTTGTAAAACAAAAAAGATTACAAGAAATGACAATATTGCTTCGGATAAATTTTGCGTTGAAACTGGTGACGGAAAAAATGTTTGCCCTGGTGATAGCGGTGGTGGTTTCGTTGTTCCTACTGAAGTTAATAATAAGATTTTATATAATCTTTGGGGTGTCGTTAGTAATGGTATTATTGGAAGGGGCGATCTTGTGCCACAATGTAATTCAAATTTTATAACAACTTTTACGAATGTTCAATACTATAGACAAATGATCAGCGGCTTAATTGCTCAGGCATAGCAATTATAAGGTTTTTTTTTTCTAATTACTTTGTAGTTATTAATACAAATATTTTCTTATATTTTTAGAATTTTAACTTACCTGTAAATATGTTTATTTAAAAAATTAAAAGTAAAAAAAATTAAGATAGCTGAGTTAGTAAAAGCGTCAATATGCAATCAAATTTTATTTTATTATGAAAGAATTCCGATTAAAAGAAAATAGCAGCAGATGAAATCGACAATCATACTTAGATTTTTTTTGGATAATCTTGTCATAAAATTAAACTGTCATAATCTTTACTACTATAGTAATACTTTTCTTGTGCTTTTACTTCTATGTGTAAATAGTTCAGATCTTTTTATATAGTCAAGTGTTATAAAAGTATTGAAGAGAAATTTGCTGACATCGAAAGTCTTGAATCCTTTACATTTTTCTTCTTTTCAAGTAATTTTATATTATAATATTAGCATACGTTCAATATTATCTGTTCACTTTTAGTAAAAATATAAGTAAATTAAAATTTTATTCACAAAATCGAAAACCAAAAAGAAAATATCAATTTTCGAAAATCAATGGGCGGGTTAATTTTAAAAATGGTAGAAACCATTTCCACCCACTTTTAATTCATACAAAATAATGTTCATGCATTGCAAAACTTACAATTTAAAAGTTATTCCAAAGGAAATTTTGATAACTAAAGTTAAAGAATTATTTTAATCTTATGCTTAGAAAAAACTAAAAGAGGTTGGGTTTTTTTTATATATTACATTTAATTTAATACTAATATGAAAGATTTTAGATTTATTTAATTTTATTTAAAATTGTTTGTACAAAAATTTCAAATTTTACTTTTATTTAAGAAAGTTTTATTGAAACAATCTTCAATACGTTTTTCAAAAATATAAGTGGGCGGGCTCGCATTTTGCTGTTTTCTAATAATACAAAAGTAAATATAGAAATTGTATGAAAATTTGAAAATGTTTTCTCATTTAGAGGCTAACATCAGCGACTTTTTTTTTATAAAACAAAAACTAGAAACAAAAACAATTGTTATTTTATTTAACTTTTAAAGGAAAATTATTTTGAGATCATAAAAATTAAAGAGAAAATATTGAATTAATTGAAATTTATGAACTTGTATATTTTACAATAGCTTATTTATTAATTAGAAAATCTGTATACGCAAAGGAAATGTATAAATTAGTTCCGATTATTTAAAAAGAAGTTGAAATTTTATACAATCTATAATACACTCCAACAAATATATTAACTTTTGTTTTTTTTATTTGATTTTTTTAAATTACTTATAATTTTGAAAATAAATTTAGTTTTCCGAGTTAGGGGTTTTCTTCTGCGTTTTATGAAGCGCGGCGCATTACAATTAAGAACGATTAAGTTGAGTAGATCCTTGTACAACTTACATCACAATGAAAATTTTTTAAAACTTTCTTTGGATACAAGTGCATTTTTAAATTTAATTAAAAAATCAATTGGAATTTCTTTAAAAATTATTAAAAGCACTTCAACTTTTATTTTAATTTTTTAAAATTTTTTATTAAAATTTAATTGGTTCAATTTAAAATGTCTAAATGTTTTATGTTTTATTACAAATATTTTATCTAACTTTTAAACTGATGTAATCTACAAAAAGAGTATATGCAGATCTACATTGGAAATTAGATAAGAACGAATCCAAATTTCACTTGAAGATGATTTTAATTATTTTTAAATTTTTAATTTTTTTCCCCCAAATAATTGACACCATATTAATATTTCAATTTGATAGAGGTTATGAATTTTATACACACATAAATTCATACATATATATGAATAAATATATATAAAATATAGAAGGCTAATTTTGAAATCAAAATTATAAATGAAATTTTAAAATAAAAAAAGTCTGAATTATAAATTTTTCTATTTGAAAATAAAATTTCTCAATACATTTTATCAGAATACTTTTAGTCAGTTTCCGGTCAATTAAGTAGTGTCTAGTAGTTTTAATTTTTAATTATGTGTTCTTGAAAATGTTTTATGTACGATGTTGTGTCTACTCTGTTATTAAAAATTAAACTGACAATAAAAAGAATACCAAAAAAAAATTCATTTTAAAATTTCAATGTGATTTTAAATTAAAAAAAAAAATCAGATTTACTCAAATTTTGATTTTAATTCTGATTTAGGTTTTTTTTTTTGGTTGAAGAAGCATTTTTAGAATTTTTATATCGGAATTACGTTATTTGCATATTGAATATTCAAAATATTAGAATTAACTAGAATTCTGTTGTAAATATAATTTATTTATTACAGTGAAATTCTACAGCTATAATAAGGAATCTCGTTAGAATTGAAGACTTCCGAAGAACTTATGAAATACAAAGTAGATTATAAAGAAAAATGGATAGCATAGAAAGCAATTGTGTCCTGTGATATGTTCCATGAAATTGAAGAGAAACAAACGGGCTTAAATATTAATCATATATATTTATAATATTTTCAAAATTTTTGTTTTTAGCTTAGTATTACTAACAGAACACGGTATATTTTGCAAGACGGAACCTAAAACTACTCAAATCAACATACTGACCCAAAATTATCAATGTAATTAAAAATATAAATAAAAAATGTTATAAGCATGAAGAGCACATGAAAATTTTTGGCACCATAAATTAAAATAGCTTGAATTATTCTCCAACATTAATCAATAATATTTTTGGTATACTCCCCGGATTAAGAGTTATTAAACAATAGGGATGATTTTTTTTTTTGGTTATTTGATGATCAAGTATATATGTTTTCCATCCAGTGTCTCATTCAGAATTCCTTTTCCAAATGAAATCTACAATCTTGCTTTTTCAAATTCAAAAAAATTTTAAGAATAAAATTATTAGGTTTAGTAACCTTGTAACCACTTTATCATTTATTAGCACGTTTTCCATTTTGATTTTTAAATCCCCTGAATAGTTTGAATTCACATTTCCTCCTTTTTCTTTATCTTTTGCCATTTATATGATATGATTGAATCGAATTGATCAAAGTTGATATTGCAAGAGAAAAATGTAAAATGAAGAGATGAAATAAATTGATTTCTCTGTAGATTTTTTACAATTTTAAAAAAATTACATTTTTAAAATTAAAAAACAAAAATAAGGAAAATGAAAAATTGCAATATTTTTTTTTATTTATTTTTTTCTATACTGTCTCTATCCTTTTATATTGCAACAAATTTCCGTATTATCTAGAAAGGACTTTAAAAATGAAATAAATTCATTTCGAACACATTGTGTGTTCATTGTAAAAAAAAGATTTTTTTTTTTTTACTATAAAAGTGACAAAATGTCTCAAGGATAATTTCATCCAGTATTTTCAATTAAATTTTGTAACAATAATATTAAGACAACGATGACTTAAAGCAGGAGCAATCTGTTGGAGTTCTTATGGTGTCTGAAATTCTGTTAAATTTTATTACCTTCATTTATTCCACTTTAAAGTTGAAAATTGAAAGTTTGTATGTACTTAACTTATACATTATGGTTTTAAACATTTTGTACATTTTTTATTTCAAATAAAAGAAATTTCAATATTTTTTTTTTATTGTAATTGAAATTATCATAAAAAGAAAGCTGGAGAGAATCAATTTAGTTTTAAAAGTCTCATATTGAAATTTAAAATTTTAAAATAATTTTTTTTTAAAATGCAATGAAATCTGTTTAAAAGTAACATTGTAAAAATTTTTTTTTGTTATTGTAAGGAATCAATACAAAGGTTAAGTTTGCGGCGGTAGTACAAAATTAGATCTGCAAATCTAAAGAATTTTTGGTTTTTTTTTTCAGCTTATAAGCATATAGTTCAAATTTGTGGTTCTGCGACAGTTTGAAAACATTCTCTGTAAACAGAAATTTTGCTCTGCCGAATGCTCAAATGACTATTGTTTAATATGTAGTTGAGTTTGAAATTAATAAAAAGAAAATATAAATATTAAAGTTTTTTGTTTTCCAGGAAAAAATTTAAATATTTTTGTAAGTATATTATATTTTTCTTTAATTATTTTTTTAATTGTTTGAACACTTTTTTCTTTAAGGACCATAACCATGGAATAAATTTGAAATGGAAACGAATTCGATTTACTTTGCTTATAGAAATTGATAGTGGGAAAAAAATGTACAAACAATGAAAAATAAAGCTGCTAATAGTCGAACCTTTGGAAAAATGGAGTGCTGTTTTGAATAACTTTCACCTGCTTCGAATTTTACACAAGTTTTCAGTATTCAAAAAAAAAAAATTTTTATTTTAGATATCAGATAGATTTCTTTTGAAGATTGTAAAACATGAGCTCAGCCAATAGCTTTAATGATCTCTACAACTGCAAAACTAAGTTTCATATTCAAAACATAAATAACGAAAAGCCAAGTAGCCTGAAAAGCTAAAAATATTATTCAAATTCAATATTATTCAAGCTAAAAATAAATTTCTACTTAAAATGTAATCCGTCACACTCAAAAACTGCTATCAAATGGTTCCCACACATTTTACAAAAAATTTCCTTCCTGTATATTATACGACCGAATAAATCTACTCTGTAGATTTTGTTTAATAGCACAAACAAAACAAAGGTGCCAGAAACTATAATGTAATTACAATAGTTTAACAATTTTTCAACTTCAGAATTTTATCCTTAAAAAATTTTCAAGTTTTTAACATCCTAATATCTAAGAATTTTTATTGTTATTTTTTTTAATTCACTATTATTATCCTTTAAGCATTATACTATAGCGTTATAAGTAATTACAAAGATTTGAAAAGAACCTATCTTTTATAGATAGTTGGTTTTTGTTATATAAAAACAAGAAAAACAAAAACAAGGTTCCTATTCTTTAAAATCAAATTTGTAATTGGTATTTTTTGTTGGGTGTACCATCATTTTTGGTAACAATTTTTATATCATTCTTATACCCCAGAGCATCCCAATAAAAATAAAGATGAATCTTAATTTGAATTCTTCAATTAAATCAACGCCTCATTTTTATTTATTTTTTGTTTTTTTTTTTTCTTTGGAAATTTTATCAATAACATAATTGGAACAGTAGGGGAAGGATAAATGTGAAAATGAATAATTTCAAGCTAAAGATGTTTTTCAAATACCAGAGTCGGATTTTTAACTCTTTTTGTTTCAGGAAAATAAGCTTTATAATGGAGGTGTTATAAATTCTGTGCTTCAGTTTCGTCTGTGTTTTCAATTTCAATATTGAATTTTTATTAGGCTAATGACTAGCTTGCCGTAGTTAAACCT